TCTCTCTCTCTCTCTCTCTCTCTCTCTCTCTCTCTCTCTCTCTCTCTCTCTCTCTCTGTGTGTGTGTGTGTGTGTGTGTGTGTGTGTGTGTGTGTCTGTACAACCTCACGATGTCGACATGCAGTCCCGATTTGATTGCCTACAGTCTGTGCATATCGAGTGTATTGTCACACTGGCGTATACCTATCGATGTCTTCATGCCGGCTCTCAAGAACACACAGACCTGCACGCACAAGTGGCTACTGCACACCCGGCCACCACGGCCGGTCTCGTTGACATTGCTCCAGCAGCGGTTGGGCTCAGACGGCGATGGCACGTGACAGATGCAACCACCTTTCCGGATTCCAAGCGCCGCTAGCACCTTCTTCAGCTAATCACTCTCGAGCTAGCTGGACGATTACCCAATCACTTGTGAGCGCGAGCAGTCTCCTCCATTCTGCTGAATCCCATCCCATCATGTGTAACAAGTACTACAGAGGCGTCTCTTACAAATGCACTTCACTGCTCATTCTCGGTTTCAGCCGTTTCAGAACTTTCAGTCGCTCGCACGCAAACACGTCATGCACCCGTCTTGCGTCTGTACGTACGCACACAAAGACCGGTGCCACTCTCACGGGCGGGCAGACATAGACACACGCGACCATGCACATGCACACGTACACGCGCACAAGCCCATGGACCTCCACACGTACAGACGCACCGGTCTTCCTTGTAGGCTTGTACTGGTCTGCTGCAGTCAGGGATAGAGAGAGCACACACGCACACACACACACTCAGAGATTCACGTCTTCAATTTGTCTTGTGTGTCCTCGTTTGGTGGCCTCACGGACGGAGAGACGCCATAGCTTGACTATGAGAAGGTAGACCCTGTGGATGGAGAAGGAGGCTACAGCACTATCCCCCCTCTGTCTTCTACCGGAGCATTTTTTTATAGATGTACTTGGGCATCGAGCAGAAATGTAAGTCGATCGAGAAACAGTCAAAGAGCAAGAGTTCGGAAGGGGGGAAATAAACAAATAAATAAATAACCGACCACCACTACGGTTTCCTTTTTCTTTTTTTTTCTTTTTTTTCAGCTATGGGTTCTTGCCGTTACATTGTGTGTGACAGGAAGAAAAGAAGTGGGGTGTTGCAATCCCACGTGCCTCACACCTTAAGGCATACTCGCAATATGACTTTCTTTACTGGTCAGGTACGTCAAACTACGACCGTAAATGCAGTTGGATACCTTTTAAGATGGCGATAGTGTGAGAGTGTGAGTACGCCCTTAGAGTTGTTTTCTTTTTCTTCTTTTTCTTTGTCCACTTCTTTTGTCTAACATCAGCTGTGCTTCGCATCCCTCCATCGCATAGTGTTTTTTTTTTTCCCTTTTTCTTTTACATATATATGCATAATATTGCATATGCATACATTCTATAGTCCCGATCCCATCCATACATTCTATAGTTTGACTTTCTCGTCAACAGTCGGGACCAGTATGTTCCCTCCTTTCTTTCTTTTTTTCCCTAACGAAAATTGACCAACTTGGCCGGGTCGGCCGTATGGGTCTCGCTCCATTACACAACACCCTAGTACATGCATTTGGGCGCTTTCTGGACCAGATGCGTTCAAAATGTTGGACTCGTCCAAATGCACCTAGTCCAGAAAGCGTCCAAATGCATGTACTAGGGTGTTCTCTAGTGGAGCGAGGCCCTATAGCCGCTGGAAGGGCGGTGCATGTGCAGTCCAGCGTGCAATCCAGCGTGCAGTTCAAACGTACAGTGCATGTGGACACTGGAGTGCAAAGTCAAGCGCATTTGCTGTGCAAAGCCGTTGGAAGCACAGCAATTTTTTTATCTTTTCTTTTTTTTTTCTTTTTTTTTTATCTTTTTTTTTTTTAATTGCACGTTTATTTTTTTTTCCACTCTTCGCCTGCTGACTTTAAACAGCATGTCTGGACGAGACCCCAGTGGTGCGACACTCGTGTCCAGAGGAGTACTGGCAAGCTCGTGCTACCGGTAGGCTAGCGCGAGCACAGCACCAGTGGGGCTTTGACACTGAGCCCAAGGGCTTAGATGCGCCGCTTGAGTGCGCTGCGTTCGTGTTAGGATAGCACAAGTTCAATACCATCCTTTTTCACAAATTTAAAATGGAGTTTTCGTGCAGCACGACATTCAACGTAGGCACCTGGTCGAGAAGCCAGCCAAATTCGTGGTAGTCCAAGCAGAGACGAGACAATTGCGTGGCCCGGCTTTTCCCATATGCGTTCGCTGAGCAAGCTGGTGCCCAATTCACGTGCCAGTGGCGAGAGTCAGGGCGTATCAGCCGCGTATGCTTTGAGAAGTCTGAGGTGTGGCCTGTTGTCTAGACCCTAGAGTCCCTTATCCTTTCCCTACCGTCCGATAGCCTTGCAATTTGCAAAGGTTTACACTGGGAAGGGGTACCCCACGGAGCACTGACCCTGAAGGTAAAAAAAAAAAAAAAAAAAAAAAAAAAAAAAAAAAAAAAAAAAAAAAAAAAAAAAAAAAAAGCACTAACCCTGAAGGTACAGGACTGAGTGGAAAAGGCAGGAGAACAATGGTTGCCCAGTTGGTGAGACTCCCTTAGACCTCTTGCATCGCAAGGTTGAAGTTGTGGGTTCGATTCCACTTCGCCCTCCGCGGCCCTCACCGCCACCTCCCATTGCTGTCAAAGTAGGACACCCCATGTACTGTTTGAGCTAAGAAGACGCGCAACACAAGCTCACTGTGACCAAGTCTTAGAAGGGAACGGAAACCAAGAAGGGAACGAGGGTGAACTTCCCGGTGAAGGGAGAAGAAAAAGGAGGAAAGAACTCAGTCCGAAGAAAGAAAGAGGAAGAGGGGGTTTATTGAACAGGCGTCATAAGAAATTAAGGAGACCAAACTGTACTCTGTCAGCAGTGTCAGGGTCAGTCAGGCAGACGAAGATAAGGACGAGGAAGCATGAGGAGAATCTGATGAGGAAGGCAGAGAGAACGAGAAAGAGAAAGACACTCAACAGACAGGCGAGCATCACGGTAATGTCCGTTTGGCAAAATCGCAATTATGCCAGAGGTATCTAGAGTGCAGCTGTAAAGAGATTGTATGGATGCATGCACAGGTGCCACCCGATGTAACAAGAGTTATAGTTGCAGGGCAAGGGGGGGGAGCCATAGGGCCCATAGATGGGGCACGTCAACAGACGTGGAGGGAAGGGAGCCAGGGAGGAGGGAGGGAAAGGTCCAGGGCCTAGGGGCGCTCCATTAGCCAGACAGTGGATTGTGGAGGAATGGGAACTGGACAACTTGTTCTTATTGGGCAATGGGTATGACACGAGCATGGTGAGTTCATGTTTTTGTGGTATGTAGTCTTGGTCTTTGGGTAATTTGCGCTTTGATGACATTGTGTTCAATGCTCTCTTGGCAATGTTGGCATGCATGATAGTCTGTTTGGTATGGGTGTATCATGTATGTGTATCTCTCAGGTCTATCCCCATGCAGTGGCTGATTATGCTGGTCTGTCTGTCTATCATCAAAGGGGGCCAATGGGCCATAGCCTCCAGGCTCTCGCCACATGATGACGTGACTACAATCCGGCATGCACGGCTATGGGAGCAATCAGGATGGAGAAAGGGGGCGGGGGAGAAGGAGTGGGAAAAGGAATCAAGAAAGGAGCCAGGCCCTGCCAGGCAAGCGGAAGGGAACGGTCGAGGAGTGCTGCATAATTGAAGGGGGACATAGCCTCTCGCCACATGACGACAATCCGGCATGCTGGGCCATGGCCCATGGGAGCAATCAGGATGGAGAAAAGGAGGGGAGGAGGGGGAGGNCGGGAAGAAGGACTCAAGT